CTTATTTGTGGGGGGGGGGGAATATTGGGGGGAACCCATGTTGATCATATTTTTGACAATGAAAAATGAAGATACTCTGTCTGGAGAACAGGTCACTTCGATTAATTTTACATGTGCATGGCACATTTCTTTTGCATTGTGCCGCTGCAGAAATGCAGGACCCATCTCCCCAGAAGTGAAAAGGGAATAACAAAGATCAGAGAGGAGACTATTACTGCTCCTTTTGAGACAGACATCTCATTTGATGGGCTCAGATACCAGCTTTATAAACACAACCCAGATGAATTCTTGCCATGTTCATCTGCTGCCGTTCATCTTAAAATTTCTCATTTGACTGCAGAGCATCTAGTAGTTGCCCTGCACATAACAATTATGACAAAACTTAGGGTGGCTAATGTGTTTTAGTCAATAGGGCCCCAAGAATAGAAAGAGCTAGTGAATTCCTCTCATAACCCATACAGTTGTATTCTTTGAAATGGCAATATAAAGCAAATTGTATTCTCTTAAGATCAAATGTTTATTACTACTATGCAGCACAAAGAAAGGCCTTGTTAGTATTTGTAAAGAGCTCTGACATACTAACTGAGCCTCCTGATGCTCCTTTAGTTAAGTTACTAAATAAGCATTACTACACCTCGGTTTATACATCGGTAAAGTGATTAAGTTAAGGCTAATCAGCTAGTAACCAGCCTGGTTTCCAGTCCAAACCTAACTAGTTTGTTACATTGTTAACTCCATACTTGTCCTTAGTACTGTAGCTGAATGTCATAGGACATCAGGAGGCAACAGGAGGCAAAGAGGGCAGTTGTCACAGGGCCTAGTTGCCCCAGACCCCTGCAATTTCAGCTGGAGCCCTGGGCCCTTTCAAATTGCTACCATAGCCCCCAACAGCGCGTGCCCTACAGCTCTGGTGGCACGAGGGAAGACTAGCCCACAGCCCAACCCCTTGTGCCTGAGGCCCTGTCACTTCCAGAGGGCCCAGAGCCCAGCAAAGTCTCTTCTCAGCCATACCACTCTGTGTATATGCAGCATGAGGGCCCGGGCAAGATTTTCAACTAACTGGAACTTTATTCTTTGATTTGCAGTATGGCTGTAAAAATATTCTTGCGGGGAGGGGAAAAGGGAGGGAGAAAGGATAGAGGGTCTTCTGCTTCCCTTATCCCCCCAGATATTAAACAGAGGCCTAGTCTACAGAATTACTACAGCATAATAATCATTCAGATGTGATTCCCCTTTAAATCTCTTAGGATCAGGAGGGTCGCACTGAAAGGACAGATCCAATTGGTTATTCAGTTCTGTGGTCTTATCCTAGACCAGTGTCTGCAGGCCTTCCACCTCAGCTGGATCCACAGTACCAATGCTTGCAACAAGACAGATTTTAAATGCTGCACTGGTAAAACGCTTCCTTGCTAGTAGTGCCCTGATTCAGCCCATTCATAAAAAAAAAAAAAAAAAAAATCCTCTCCCAACATCTCCAGATGTATTAGCATCTCCCTGTGTTACCTGCGCATATTTCCCAGTACAGATCATTCCATTCCATCGTGGGACCGTAAGACAACCTGGATGGCGAAGCAGGTAGTTGTCTGCTCTGCCGACGAAGGTGTCTGGATATCCTGTCACTGAACCATCCAGATCATGGAAAACGGAAACTTTGTCACCATCATTATCATTGTCTCCAAACCACTGGCCTGATCTGCCAAAAAACACCTTGAGTCCAACCTATAAGAGAGAAAGCCAGAAAATAAGATACTGGTGAAGCCATAACTGGTTACTAGGGATAGATGTGACGTATGTTAATATAGCTCAGTCAGGAACACTTCTGAACTAGAGAGTCCTCTTGGTTCAAAGCAACACACCAAGATTTAAGCTACTGATGCAGCCTGAATTTAGACACAATTTTGACTGTATACAAGTTTATTTACTGAGATTTTTGCTTTAATGCTGAGGGATGTTTTCATGAAACCAGGATCTTTGATTAGCAGAAGTTCATCTGCTCCTGTTGCTTACTTCTTAAAGTAATAAACAGAAGAATGTAACTTGAAGGGATTAAGCAGCATTGGAAGCATATGAAACGATTAAGGAATAAACTCATTTCAAGGAAATGTCAGAAGAAGAGTAAATTTTTAAAACTCCTGTGTGAAATGGCAACCCTTTTTAGGATTTCCTTGATCAAATATTCCAAAGCATTATTTGAACATGGGGGGAGGCAGGCATAACAGAAGCTAAAACCCGAATTGCTCTTCCTATGCATAATCCCCGTTTTTTAAATAGCTGAACAGCAAAGGGAAAGCATAAGGCCAGTTATAAAGATACAGAGAAGTAGGGAACATGCAGATGTTACACAAAAGGTGTTGAGTATTCTGGTGTCTGTAGAGAAAGAAATTAATAGGTCATTAGGTGATGGAGACGGTACCTTTGGCTGAACCTCTGAGTAATAATGTGTGCTAGACAAGACAATAGCGCCTTGATCATGCAGTCCCAAGTTCCTTCTTGATCATGCAGTAAGAAGGAAATAATCTTACTTCCATTAGTCCTGTTGAGTTTAATGGGACTACTCACGTGAGTAAGAAAGAATTACTCATGTGAACAAGTGTTTGCTGGTAAATAATAAGTCTACTAAGGTCTTAAGCTCAGTCTTGTAATGTTCATTGAGTAAGAATTTTCCAGTATCCTTAAGCACATAAGAAGTGCTATTGTTTAAATGGGAATACTCTCAAGGGGTAACTACTATTTGCATGTGTAGAGGTTGCAGAACTTGGTCCTTAAATTAGGTTTTATTTAGCCTAATTTCTTTTTACTTTAAAATCAAATCAGATCCTATTATCACGTTTCTCTCCTTCTCCCAGTGTAACTTCTAGCCTTTTAGGGTATGTCTACACTTGCAGCCTATTTCGAAATAGGGCTGCAAATGTAGGCATTCGGAATTGCAAATCAAGCCCGGGATTTAAATATCCTGCGCTTGATTTGCATCTTCCCGGCCGGGCGCCATTTTTTGAAGTTTACAAGCCCAGAATAACTGCCCACGTCTATATGCGGCAGTGAAACGGGCGTTTGAAATGAAGCCCTATTTCGAACTACCTGTTATTCCTCCTGCTGCAAGTGTAGACATACCCTTATTGACTCGGTCATTTAGACAGCCCTCCTTTGTACACACACACACACACACACACACACACACCAATCAAAAAAACCCAAACCACGACATTGAATTTCCATGTATGTTTTTGAGCAATGTCCACTTTTCTTATTTCCCTGCTGCAAACTCTGCCAAAGGAACTATTTGGCAAAGAAGGAGGACCCCATGGGCATTTCTTTTTGTAATATCTAAAAAGAGGAAATATTAGTAAAATGTAAACATTATCCTGTAGTTCAAAGCTCCACTATAAATACCCTGCATCAAACACATTTCTGGATTTGAACAGGAACACTCCAATGATCAGAGATCAGAAACCTCAAAACAAAGTCAAGCACAGTGTGTACAGCTTCCATTTAAACACTTAGTGTCGTAAGTGTTTCCAGCCATAATACAGAAGGATTTATTGTTTAACAACTTATCTTTCGTCTACATTCTACTCTAAACTTTGAAATAAAAATGGCTAGGCTAAAATTTCAAGTTAAAGGTTACTCTAAAGTTTACAAAAGAATCACCGCTAAACTTGTAAGCTGGGAAATGGTATGTATTAATTTATGATCTGACACTGGGAAATTCAATATAAAAGATTGTAAGTAAGTGTAGGTACAGCGGCTACATCTACACTAAGAGTTTTCTTGGCAAAAAATATGCTAATGAGGGACTCATTTGCATGAGTCATGATCTCATTTGCATATTTTCTGCCGATCCATTTTTGCGCAAAAAACAAGCAGTGTGAACGTTTTCTTTTTGCACAAACCCCCCTTTTTCTGCAAGGTCCTTATGCCCCAAAAAAGGAGGTTTACCAACCTTGCGGGAAAAGAGGTTTTTTGCACAAAAAGAAAATGACCACACTGCTTGTTTTTGTGCAAAAACCCAGCACAAAAATGGATCGGCAGAAAATATGCAAATGAGATCATGACTCATGCAAATGAGTCCCTCAATAGCATAGTTTTTGCTGAGAAAACTTGTAGTGTAGACGTAGCCAGAAAGAAATCAGCTTCCACATAAAAAGTTTTGGAAACAAAGTTAAAGACCACATATTTAGCAGTCATGACTGTCACTGACTTCAGTGGGAACTCTAGGTGAAGACCACAAAAGTCGAGCACTATTTTGAAGATATCCACATACACATTTACTCTTTAGAATGATGAATTACACGGAATACATGGTAGATGACTGGCATACATAGAGCATTGTGAAGGTTTTGGAGCACAACAATAGCAATGTATATAGAGAGATGGATTAGTAGGCTGAAGGTGCAGTCAGAGATGTGACAAAAATGTAATAATCAAATGCCTCTCCAATTTATTGCATGGATCTCACCACCACGTATAGTGTGTGTGTGGACAGACACACACTCTTACAGAAAAGCTCTAGACACTCCTATAAAGTTTCAATTTAAATAATGTCACTAAAAAATTGTAAGTGGAATAGAATAAGAAATTGTATCTTTTCAAATGTGTTTGATCAGCTGTTGCAAAAAACACATTAGAAAGAATATCGCGGTCTCACTATTATCATATGTAATAATAATTAATATATTTACAGAAATGGGTTGACAGAGTCCTAGGAAAATTTGTCAACCAGTGTGGATCTACTCCTGTTTTACAGTCACAACTTCAAAAGGAAAAGTAATAGAAAGGTAGCCATGTTAGTCTGATCTTGGTAAAACAAAAGGGAAAAAATTATGTAGCACTTTAAATACTAACAAGATAGTTTATTAGGTGATGAGCTTTTGTGGGGCAGACCCACTCCTTCAGGTCTGCCCCACGAAAGCTCATCACCTACCTTGTTAGTCTTTAAAGTGCTACATAATTTTTTTCCTTTCAACTTCAAAATGAGTGAGGCACAACAATTTGGAAGCAGAGATTAAAGGTACTGATCAGTACGGGCAGATCCTGATAACCACACAGAGTCCCACTGAGTTTACTGTCCTTTTCAGCAGCTTGAAAGATTGGGACCCAAATCAGGTAAGGAGAACCACTCACTCTCATATTATAGAAAAATGAGGCCTACAATAAAAGACATCTGTTTCTATAGGCTCTGACCCAAATGGGTTCTCACCCATTGAACTGGGTGAATCAAGGGAGCAGTTCTACTTCCTTTGAAGTCAACACAATGATGTCTTTTTACTTCAGTGAGAATAAGACTGACCCTTAAGCTCACTTTCCTTTTCCCATACTATCCCTCCTCCCCCACCTTCAGGGCAGAAGTGGTTTGTGATAAAACATTGCACAATTCTCTGTTTATCCTCCTCCCCATATGGGTCTGTTTTGATCCACCCCATCATAATTGCCATTTTTAAGCTGCATGAAAACTTCCGTTCTGCCTGGCACTCAGAACACCAGGCTGCGATGATGCAGTCTAAATACAAGGCCAATTGCTTATATTGCAAAGTGCTCGCCTCCTATCCACAGGGCTAGGTGAGTTTTGCCAGCATAACCTATGTTTTTCAGCAAGTGTGCAAGATAATGCAGGATCATTAGGCTGGAGACAAATCCCTCCTCCCCATAGAGCTCTTCTGTGCACTTCCAGCAATGCCAAGGATCATAAGACCCAGCTCTCTCTTCAGAGGAGGACTCCCCTGGCATAGGGAAATCTATACATGGCAAAGAGCTGGCCCAGCCTCCTATAAATGGGCACCGCTCCATCTCCTCCGGGTAGCTGGAAAACCACCACAGGAGCCAACAACAGTCAAAATTAGCACACTCTGGGGGAACTGAGCCAGTCCTGCCTGGTGATCATTTGAGCTCAAATAGGGACCACCTCTCCCCACCCCTGGCTCAGGAGTTTGCATAGCCTGCCATAAAAGGGGCACAGCGCAGAGCCTGAGCTGAGCACAGTGCAAAAAAAAAAAAAAACCAAACAAGTGGGAGCTGCCTTATATATATAAAAATTATGAATAGTGCAGTGTAATATTGCCTTAGAAGCTAGGCACAAACTCCATGTATGACCTAAATATATATATTTATATATTGCTTCCGACTTGTGGGACATGAAGGGCATGTCTACATTGCAGCTAGCCAGAAATCTCCCAGCTCAGGCAGACACTCGCAATAGTGGGACTCAAGCTAATATGCTTATGGCATGGATGCTCCTACTTGGGCTAGTGCTCAGCTTCTCAAGCTGAGGGTATCAGGTGGGCTTGAGAGCCCACCTTGAAACATCATAGAATCATAGAACTGGAAGAGACCTCAGAAGGTCATCAAGTCCAGCCCCCTGCTCTAGGCAGGGCCAATTCCAACTAAATCAACCCAGCCAGGGCTTTGTCAAACCAAGACTTAAACACCTCTAGGGATGGAGACTCCACTACTTCCCCAGGCAACCCATTCCAGTGCTTCACCACCCTCCTAGTGAAATAGTTTTTCCTAATATCCAACCTGGACCTCTCCCACCACAATTTGAGACCATTGCTCCTTGTTCTGCCAGCTGTCACTTCTGAGAACAGCCTCTCTCCATCCTCTTTGGAACCTCCCTTCAGGAAGTTGAAGGCTGCTATCAAATCCCCCCTCACTCTTCGCTTCTGCAGACTAAACAGACCCAAGTCCCTCAGCCTCTCCTCATAAGTCATATGCTCCAGCCCCCTAATCATTTTGGTTGCCCTCCGCTGGACCCTCTCCAATGCGTCCACATCCTTTTTGTAGTGGGGGGCCCAGAACTGGACACAATACTCCAGATGTAGCCTCACCAAAGCCGACTAAAGGGGAATAATGACATCTCTGGATCTGCTGGCAATGCTCCTCTTAATGCACCCTAATATGCCATTAGCCTTCTTGGCTACAAGGACACACTGTTGACTCATATCCAGCTTCTCATCCACTGTAACCCCCAGGTCCTTCCACACCAATGTTTTTAGTGCATCAGTTCAAGCCGCACTAGCTCAAGTGCATCTACTTGGGCGGAGAGGCTTCGTCCCAGCTGCAATATAGATGTGCCCACACAGACCGATGGCACTACACGACCATCTGAAGGCAGAGCACCAAGAACTATTTTGAAGAGAGCCTTTTAATAGCATTCTAAGGCATTATGATTAGTTGTTATCTACAAATGCACACATTTTCCTTCCCTTCTAGGCAAGCTTTGCGTTTGTCAACAGAAACGTAAATGAAACACTTTAATAGAGTGGAATGTTTAGCTCTTCTCTTTCACCTAATAATTTGTTTTTATATCACAATTAAGCAAGACCTGACTTTTTATTATTTAGTCATCTAATCAATGAGCTGATTATGCATGACAAACAGCTTTAGTATCACTATGCAACTTGTAATAACATTTCATGTCTTCTCAAGTGACAGTAAACATAAGCCATCCTTTAGGGAATTTAGTGTCCCTTTCAAAATAAAACAAAAACTATAGATGGAAGTGAATATAACAATTTAAGGGCTCTATGTTAATTATATGTTATCCAATAAAGCAATTTGCCATGGAGAAATATGCAACAGATGTTTTTACAGTTTTATTTCAGGATCAGCAGGGCTGGATTCAATCTGGATAAAGCATAATCAAAGTGAAAAGTGTTTGCATTATTAACTGCTGGGGCAGATCAGGATGGAGAGAAGCATAATTATTAATTGCTTTAAAAAAAGGAGCTGGCAACATAATAGTAAAGAGACATTTGTTGGAAATTGACTCAGGAATTATTTGGATAACATAATTAATGTTTTATAATGAACTCTGTGTGATATTTTAGCATGTTTGTCTTCACTTAAGATTGCAGCAGCATTTAATAAGTCCTCTGAAAGGCTCTGCCTGGCAGACCTCAGATCTTAAAAGGTGTTGCTGTAATAAACTGGTCACCCAGACCTGAAGAGGTACAGTGACACTGAACAGGTTCAGAGACCTCAAAAGGTGCTACAACTTGACACATCTGTATTTTTAAATGTTTCCACAGGTAATGATCCACTACCGTGCCTGCAAACATCTACATTCAGAGTTAAAAACCACATCTGGCAGCCCTTTCTCAGGTTAGACACTCCACTCTCTTCAGATCCACTGCAAGACCAGACCTGTGCATTTTACATTTTCCTCTAAGCAAACTCCTCTTTCCATGCTAAATGTTGCATCCTCATTGTAGCCAGTTCCCCTAAGGGTTACAAAGAATGTACAACTACATTATCCCTTACCCTTGCTCTGACTTTAAGTGTGATATACACTGGTGATACATACACAGTTCTGATTTATTTATATGCACAAGAATGAAGTGCACTATGTTCATAACAGTGCCACAGGAGTGACTATGATAACACAACCTTTATATAAAATATGATCCAGTTGCATGGATAAGTGTGATGGAGAAGAGGCAGGAAAGCAGACTGCTAAGCCAAAGAAAAATGAGGTCGGTCAATATTAAGCCTCTGAAATTTCCTTGCAAAACAAACCCATACCCTGAGTTAAGGTTATAGAGGTTCATGAACTACACAGCAGGCCTGGGCCTTGTTTTGGGCAAGTTACAATCCCTGGAAGGAAGGCACCTAGAAGTCAGTAATTTTTCACAATTTCAGCCCAACACAGGCACCCTGTAGTGATTTTTGGGTGAGAATTTTGTTTTGAGTTTTATGGCTCAAATAAACCAAAACCACAAAAGTCAAACTCAAAGAGATGTGAGTACCACATTAATTCAAGAGAAAGGCTAAGACAGCTGACGTATTTTATAATTCCTATCAACACACAAATATAGAACTGGATTCAGCAGTCCTTAATCTTGCTCAATCCCCATTGAGATCCATAAAGCTTTTGAGTGAAGGTCCTGGGATCAGGCCCAAAGTTGTCTCTGTATCTAAAAATTGTACTGAAACATTCTGACACTCATGCTTGTTGAAGTTTGATTTGCATCTCTGTTCACCTACAAGAAAGAGGTGTCTTCAATAACTCTCTCAGTACTCAAGGATTTTTGCAAGTCAGACAAGCTCCACCAACACCTGCGTGCCTCTTTTTCTCACTTACACTTCTCTCCATCCTGATCTGCGACACATTGTTCTGCGGGCTCATCTGCCAGGAATTCTTCATAAAAAAACCAATGGCACTTGAGAATCGGTCTGCAGTGGGGGTAAACTTTCTGAAAGTGCATTTCATCAGCCTCACAGGCCCATCATAGATCTGGAATCCACGGATTGGGAACGTCCTATGGAAGTTTCAAAATGAACAGAATTCAATTTCAACCATATGGGGCAGGATCAGAACTTTCTTCCATACGCAGCTTTGCCAGGGAAAAGGGGCATAGCTAGGGGATTGTCTAGGGGTTAATTGCATGCAAGACATACAAAGTACCCAGCAAATGTACGGTCTATTGTTACTTTTCTAAATCATTCCTTAATAGAGATTTGTCATGAATTATAACAATTGTTTTGAAATTTCTATTTGCTCAAGGCATGGGGAATTGTAGGAATAAGGGGAGTATGCATTGACTGTTAAAGAGGAGGTTGTAGTCCTATAAAAAGGACCTAACATACAACCTGAGAAAGAGCAATGAGATCCTGAGGGACTTGTCTTTTGCTTTTTTTGTCAAACCGGGTTATATGTTGGTCAATCAGGAAGGAAGTAAATGTACACCCACTAGAAGATATTATATCATATGCATAAAACTCAAAAGAAAAATAGCACCCAGCCCTTCTTTTGGGGACTTCAGTGGGGGCATGTCTATACAGCAGAGCTAAACTCGAAATAAGATATGCAACTTGAGCTATGCTAATTGTGTAGCTTAAGTTGAAATAGCTTATTTGGACTTTGGGCATGTCTACACAGCACTTATTTCAAAACAGAGCTCTCTTCCCTCGACTTCCCTCTCTCCTCATACAATGAGGTTTACATAAGTCAGAGTAAGAAGCCCATTATTTCAAAATAATGGGCTTGCTGTGTAGACGTGCATTATGTTATTTTGAAATAACTAATGTTAATCCGAAATAACGCTGCTGTGTAGACGTACCCAGAGTGAGGCAGATCCACTGGGAGAGAAATCTGCTCCATCAAGTAAGTGCCTGTGTCTGGCCCAGGTCATCTGACTCTGGCTAGGGCTGCAGGGCTATAAAATTGCACTACAGAAACCTGAGCTTGGACTGGAGCTGTAGGACTCTTTCCTCTCCTCGTGGGAGCCCATAGCTCAGGCTTCATCAGGAGCCTGGACAGCTACACCATGCTTTTACAGCCCCATAGCCCAAGCTGATGCAGGCCAGCTACAGGTGTTTCATTGCAATGTAGACATGCTCAAAGGAGATCCAATATGCACCCCCAAGGTGAACAGGCAGCCTTGCCTCCCTGCCTCTTCATTTGAAATGGAAAAGTGATCCAGCTTTCCTACTGATGCCACACTGGCAAGTCTGGGCCCAGAACAACATTTACAGTTAGGTTATAATGTGACAAGAGAGCCAGTCAGCCCTGATATTGGCTGCAATTGTAGCCCTAAAGAAAAGTTCTTGGTTTCTTTCAAACTTTCACTCTCCATTGAATAGATTGAGCAGAAAATTACATCAAAGACATCCAGTTGTCAAAGCTCTCAACGCATTTGTCTGGAGAATGGGTTTTATTTGGATATTCATTGGTTATGGGCTGTATAATTTAAACATCCATTTACATTGCCCTTTAGTAGCCACATTCATTCCAAAGGCTTTTATTCTATCACATTTTTCTTATGCTAATATCAAGGGTAAATGCTAGATAAATAACCTACTTGTTTCTGGGTAGTGTTCTATATTCTCCATTTGCCCCTCTTCCCCAGTAGCTGTTTTGTCCTCCCTGGGAGCCAATGTTGTTGCTTTCTCCAATAAAGATGGAATGTGTAACTTCCATGCTAGAACCCTCATCTGTTGGGAAAGTTCCATCACTAGATTTAAACAAAGAAAAATGGAAGGTGGCTGTGTAGTACAGTTCAGAATGAATCAATAATTCTACAGAGCTTTTTAATTGCACTTCTGAAACGGTTGTTTTTATTCTAAACAGATGCATCTGCAGGAATTAAAAAATAATCTTTGGAACTCAAATTAGTAGTAAGCACTAATTCAGTGTTTCAGGTAATTACAATTAGGTCTGGGTTTTTTTGTTTTTTAAACTCTAGCATCCTCCATTCTAAGAATTTTACTAAGCAGGAGCAAACTCTAGTTCAGTATTAGGAAGTTACAAATCCTTTGGGGAAAAAAAAAGCCACACAGCTAAGGTCTGATCCATAGCTCATTGAAGTCAATGGAAAGATTCCCATTGTCTGCAGTGGGCTTTGGATCAGGCTCTTGCTTAATTTGTGAGAGGTTTCTGGTTTACAGCAGAACAAACCTTTCCATTACCCATAGATGGTAGGAATGTAGTCAAAAGAAACACTTTAAAACCACATAGAGTGCTTTTTCCTGCCACTTTTGAATGGAAATATACCGACTGCATGGACATTTTTGGTCTTGCTGTGACCAGAACGAATACAAAATCTCTGGTGCATGTAACAAAATATTTATTTCCTTTTAGGTTATAGTTTCTAATCAGACATTAACATATATTCTCCAGACACGACAAAGCAAAGAAGTTGAAATGCCATATTATCTTTCACCTTCCATTCTTTAGTGTTATAAATTGCACAGAGAACCCTGAAAACACAGTCTATTGACAGAAATTGAAATTACCTGGCTAAAGTGAGTCCAATTCCATTGTCTGAAAACCTAAAAAGAAAAGAAAACCCACAAATGTGTAAATCAACAGGAATATCTGATGTTAATTTGTGCTACAGACCCTCTTATGGTCAGTAATGCATAGAAGGATATAAACTGTAATTACCATAACTTACCCACAGTTGCGGAAAATAATGTCACCACCTCTGGCCCAGGCTCCATGGTCATTATTTTTAAAAGCGATGAGGCCATCAATTAAGGCAGGAACTCGTGGTTTTACAGGGTCAGCATCCTGATGTGGGCGGAACCTGAAGCAACCAATTTAGTTATTAAACCAGGGCAATGGGAAATAACCTTAAACACAAAAGGTCATGGTCAGTCACAGCTCTCTGGTTCCAAACACTGAACTGATGCATTCAGAAAAAGTAATTTTATTGCTATGTTCAGCTGAAAATATGTATTTTCAATCACATTCAAAACATTAGCTTCATTTCAGTACTGGGTTTCATTTTTTATATATATAAAAAAGCCAACAGTAAGAGTGGTCTGGACCCAATGAAGTCTATAGAAAAAGCACCTCTTGATTTCAGTAGAGCCAGGATTTCTCACAATGGATTTTTCAAAAGGATCTCAGTGACTTAGGAGCACAAGGTAACTTTTCAAAGGCACTGTTGCTCAGCTGCTTTTAGAAGGCCATGGGCGCCTCTTGTCAGTAGCCCTGGAAATGAGCTTGTTAGCCTGAAGGATGTCTCCCTCTGGGTGGTGCCTTTCTGTGTCCTCATTCCATGCTCTCTATTCCAGACCTGTCACTCCTGGACCACAGTGTCCCCTTCAGGATGCTGCCCTCCAGCACTACCTGCTTCAGTGTCTCTTGGCCCCCTTCCAGGGGAAAAGGGAGTGTTTATCAATCTCTGCACTCTGCGGCTATGTCTAAACTACAAAGATTTTTCGAAAAAGGATATGCAAATTCCGTGGGAATTTGCATATCTTCTTCCAATTGCATTTTTGAAAGAGGATCTTTTGAAAATGAAAGTAGTTACTGGACACAGGGTCTTTTTTTTTTGAAAAAAAAAAAAATATTCCTTAAAAAAAAAAAAAAAAAAAAAAAAAAAAAAAAAGGAGGTTTATGCAGTTTTTCAAAAAAGGAGGTTTTTTCCTGGAAAAAAAAAATGCGTCCAGATTACTTTCAATTTCGAAAGATCCTCTTTCCCACGGAATTTGCATATCCTCTTTCAAAAAAATATTTGTAGTTCAAATGTAGTGTGGGGGTCCTTTCCCGTCCCTCCTCCCCACCCCCCATTCCCCTATACCTGTCTTGCCTCAGTGACCCACTGCCAGTCTTCATCTAACTCCTTACTTCAGGGGCAAACTACAGTCTGAAATGGCAAGGGGGAGGACCTGCTGCTTTTTCCCCCTCCTGGCTGTCCCCCTGCAGCCCTAGCACTCTCAGGCCTTGCTTCAGGGCCCTGCAGCCTGCGAGTGAGGCCAGGCCAGAGCTCCCCAGCCCTGCCTGCCTTTCCCCAGCACTGCTCTTTCCCAGGAAACCCCCAGATTTCCTGGCAGCCAGGCCCCTGCTGCTCTCCAGCTAGAACAAGTCTGTCCCCCTTTGCCATCCATAACAAGGTCCAGTAATCTGCCGAGTACCCTACAGGTACCTGAAGACATCAGAAGCAATAAATGAACCCAAATATTATTATCCATACAGGATTGACTCACCTGGCATTATCTACTGTAAGGTACTCTCGAGGATTTTCAGCACTGGCTTTTGTTGTCTTTACTCCTTTTCCAATAAACAAACCAGCCTGAAAAATTCATACGAGTTCAATTATTTTAACAAGATGACCACACAGCACAAGATAAAGAAGATCAAAGACCTTATACATAAAACACGAACATGGTGGTTCCCCATGTTTAAGACACTGTAAGCCCTCTGCATGCCTGTGTTTTCCACCCTCAAGTATCGGCTTAAGTGCCATTTGGATGTCATCACATTGTGGCCTTGGTGTAATACGTCAAAGTCAGGGCAGACTGCTACAGCTCTATGCCCTTTACACAGTCATTCAAGTTGGCTTCTGAGCCAGAGCAAAGAATTTA